GTACCCAGTGGTCAGTGTCATACAATAGCAGGTTACAACTCTTCACATCCATAAGCCACACACTCAAAGGGCAGACTCACTAACTACAAAAGCCCCACTGATGTAGGTCATGCTTCATAGGGGTCTCTCCTACACAGCAGCTCTCCCACTGTAGTCATAGTGACACCCATCAATGCTAAAATACTCGAGAAAATTCTGGCTAATCTGATCCAGCAATACATTAGAAAGATCATACACCATGACCAAGTGGGATTTATTCGGGGGATGAAAGATATCTGAAAATCAATAAATATGATACAACATATGTGCAAAAATGAAAGACAAAAATCATTTAAGCATATCAATTGATGCAGAAAAAGCATTTGACATAATCTGACACCCTTTCTTGAAAAAACTCTCAGCAAAGTGGGAGCCCAAGGATCATACACGTAATAAGAGCCTTATATGAAAAACCCACAGCCAACATTATATTCAATCAGCAAAAACTACAACCATTTTCACTTAGACAAGAACAAGACAGGGTTGCCGAAACCGGTTTGGCTCAGTGGATAGAGCGTCGGCCTGCGGACTGAAAGGTCCCAGGTTCGATTCTGGTCAAGGGCGTGTACCTGGGTTGCGGGCACATCCCCAGTGGGAGATGTGCAGGAGGCAGCTGGTCGATGTTTCTCTCTCATCGATGTTTCTAACTCTCTATCTCTCTCCCTTCCTCTCTGTAAAAAATCAATAAAATATATTAAAAAAAAAAAAAAAAAGAACAAGACAGGGATGACCACTTTGACTGCTCCTGTTTGATATAAAACTGGAAGTGCTAGCCATAACAATCTGAGAAGAAGCAGAGATTAAATGCATCATAATTGGAATATAAGAAAACTGTCATTATTCAAAGATGACATGATATTGTACATAGAAAACCCTAAAGACTCCATCAAAAAACTACTAAATTTAATAAATGCATTCAGAAATGTAGCAGGATACAAAATTAATAACCAGAAATCTATGGCTTTTTTATATACCAATAACGAACGCACAGATAAACAAACAAAATATCCTATCTACCATTGCAACAAAAAATTAGGATACGTAGGAATAAACTAACGAGGTAAAAGACCTGTACTCTGAAAACTACAGGAAGTTGAAAAAAAGAGATGGAAGAAGATATAAACAAATGGAAACATATACCGTGTTCATGGATTGGTAGAATCAACATCATTAAAATGTCCATAATACCCAAAGTACAAAACAATCTTCAGATTCAATGCAATCCCCCTTAAGATACCAACGGCATATTTCACAGACCTACAATATGAAATAATAATAGTAACAATAAAAAATAGCCACAAAAAAAATATCCCCAGCAATCTTGAGAAAGAACAAAGGTGGAGGAATGACAATACCAGATACCAAGGTATATTGCAAAAATGCCTGGTAATGGCACAACAACAGACATATAGAACAATGCAACAGAACAGAGAATCCCGAAATCGACCCAAGCCTTTATGCTCAATATCTGTCAAAGGAGGCAACAGCATTCAATGAAGTCAAGATAGTCTCTTCTTCAATTAATGGTGTTGGGAAAATTGGATACATGCAAAAAAATGAAACTAGACCACCAACTTATATCATACACAAAATAAACTAAATATAGATAAAGTCCGCAAACGTAAGATGGGAAACCATAAAAATCTTAGAAGAATCCACAGGCAGCAAAATATCAGACATATATCCTAGCAATGTCTTTATGGATAGCGTAATGTTTCCATTTCCTAGGGTAATGGAAACTAAGGAAAAAATGAACAACTAGAACTACGTCAAGATAAAAAGCTTCTGCACAGCAAAAGAAGCCATCAAAAAAACAACAAGAAAGCCCACTGAATTGGAGAACATATTTTCCAATGTTATATCCGATAAGGGTTTACTCTCCAACATTTACAGGGAACTTAAACACCTTAAGAAAAAGAAGATAAACGATCCAATCCAAAAACGGGCAAAGGACTTAAATACACACTTTTCGAAAGTGGTCATTCAGAAAGTCAAGAGACATATAAAAACATGCTCAAAGCCACTTATCCGAGAGACGCAAATCAAAACGACAATGAGATATCATCTCACACCTGTCAGGATGGCTATCATCAACTAATCAACAAAGGACAACGTGCTGGCAAGGATGTGGAGAAAAGGAACCCTTGTGCTCAGCTGGTGGGAATGCATATTGGTACAGACACTGTGGAATATAATGTAGAGTTTCCAAAAAATTAAAAATGGAACTCCCAATTGACCCATCTAGGAAAATATCGCAAGAAATAAAAAACAGCCCTAGGTGGTTTGGCTCAGTGGATAGAGCGTCGACCTGCAGGTTGAAGGGTCCCAGGTTGGATGACGCCCAAGGCAACATGCCTTGCTGTGGCTCGATTCCCAGTAGGGTGCATGCAGAACGCAGAGGTCAACCATTCTCTCTTATCATTGATTTTACTATCACTCTCTCCCTGTCCTTTCCTCTGAAATCAATAATGAAATATTAAAAAAAAAAAGAAAAAGAAATGAGAAACACCAATCAGAAAGGACATATGCACTCCTATGTTCATAGCAACGCAATTTACAATAGCTAAGATTAGGAAATAGCCTAAGTGCCCATCAGAGATGAGTTGATTAAAAAACTGTGGTACATCTACACAATGGAATACTAGGCTGCTGTCAAAAAGGAGGAACTCTTATTATTTGCAACAGCATGGATGGAACTGGACAGCATCATGCTAAGCAAAATACGCCAGATGGAGAAAGATAAATATCACATGATCTCACTCATTTGTGGTCAATGAGAGAAAATGGCGACATATGTAATACAATATATATTACTTTAAACAATAAATAATTTTTAAAAAAGAAATATTGTGAAAATATCCATACTACACAATGCAATCTACAGATTAAATGGAACCCTGAGGATAATTCTTATGGTACTTTACAAAGACATGAAAAGAGAACCTTGAAATGTATAGAACTAAAAAATGTGAATAGCAAAAACAATCGTGAGTGAGAAGCAAGCTGGTGGCATCACACTTCCTGACTTCAATTTCTTACAAAGACAAAGCAAGCAAACATTGTGTTGCTCAAGAAACACAAACACATACATCAACAGAACAGAACAGAAAACACAAAAGTAAACCCAGACACATACTTTCAAGTAATCACTGTCAAAATTGCAAGACAGAGAAGAAGGAAAAGATAGTTTCTTCAATGAATGGTGCTGCTGAAAATCAATACTCACATGGAAGCACAAAAATACTGGACACCACTGATAACATGCATAACAGAATTGAATATCAGCGCTAAAACTTAAAACGCCTCACGACAACCTAGAGAAAAAGTTTTGGAGATTTGTTTTGACATGATTTTCTGAATGTGACACCAACCACCACAAAAAAAAACCAAAAAAAAAAAAAACAGTCGAGATGACAACAAATAAAGAAAAAAGCTTCTTCACAGCACAACAGCAATACACAAAATGAAATGAAAGGAAATCGAGAGAACAGAAGAAAATAATTGCAAATCCTATGAAGGAATTCCTTGGGAGATTGTGGATTCAGTTCTGATCAGCACAATAAAGCGAATATTGAGATATAGACAGAAATTCACACAAGTAGTTGGCGTTCCCAGGGAATAATAAAGTTATGTTAATACTGTATTGGAAGCTAATAATGCAATGACTTGTCTGAAAAACAAACTCGATATAACTTCATTAAAAATACTTTACTGCTGCCAAAACGGGTTTGGCTCAGTGGATAGAGTGTCGGCCTGCGGACTGAAAGGTCCCAGGTTCGATTCTGGTCAAGGGCATGTACCTGGGTTGTGGGCACATCCCCAGTAGGAGATGTGCAGGAGGCAGCTGATCGATGTTTCTCTCTCATCGATGTTTCTAACTCTCTATCTCTCTCCCTTCGTCTCTGTAAAAAAAAAACCTCAAAAAAACTTTATTGCTAAGCAGTAGCAACAAGCATGTGAGCTTCCAAAAACATGGTTGTGAAAGGACAGAACAGGGCTGATAACCGTGTTCCTAACTCCTCTTCAAGCAAAAGCCATAGAATGTATCAGTTGCTCAGCCAGCCCTTATCTCAGCCAATAGGAACGCAAGGAAACTAGCCCAAGGCCAAAAGTATGCTAGCCACCTCGTGTCTTTGTGTAACCAGACCCTAGCTGCACCCTGCCCTTGCGTCATTAGCCCCCCCGACCCTCACTCAACCAACTGGAATCGGCCAAATCAGTGGTCCCAGTGAGCCCCCACCCCCTGACCCAAGCCCTATAAATTCTTTGTTCTTCCAAGACTCCAGGCTCTCTCTTGCATCCAGTAATGGAGGCAGGAGGGGGACCAAGTCCCGGGCTTGAATAAAAGACCCTTTGCTTTTGCATCGGAAAAGGCTCCCTGGTCGTGGATTATTGGGGACCTCAAACTCTGGGCATAACAGTAGCACTAGACCTGCTGAACGCAGGGTTGCCAAAAACATGGACTTTGTAGAAAAGCGGGTGTGGGGGAGTTATATCTGCAAAGCACTATTAAGCACATGCAAAAATAGGTGTTCCTGTATGTAATAAGCAATTAATATATAAAATATACAGGGTAGTTAGAACACTCTTTAACCAAAAAATACAGTTAATAAACAGGATAAGGATGTAGAGACAATTCTCCAAAAAATACGTACAAATGACCAACAGGAATATAGAAAATGCTTTACTCACTGATCAAGGTGGAATCCCTTAGGCTTCCAGCAACACTACCAACCACAAGTCCTTCCCTGTGAGTTTAGTACCGAGGGGAGTATTGGGACTTCGGGAACAGAAGGGAGCAGTGGAAACGGACCAACCCTCCCCAGGACAGCTGCTACCCAGAAAACAGGAAAATCAAGCAGTACCACAGTCTATATGGGAGGACAGAGCACACCCTGGGGGATGGAATCTGGGAAACCTCAAAGCCAAGTCCAGGTCTCTGGTGAGAGTGAGGGTCTTACCCAGAGAGGATATAAGTTCAAAGTTCTCCAGCATCACATTCAGGTACAGCTGTCTCTGACCCTCATCAAGGAGGCTCCATTCCTCCCTGGAGAAGTACAGGGCAATGTCCTCAAAGGTCACGCCAACCTGTCAGAATGGAGACAATTGAAACCAATGCTGCCTTTCAGAGAACCAGTAATTCTACTCCTTACACACCTTCCCGCCCTTAACCTCCTCCAGGGGCCCTGGTTACTGTGGACACCAGGCCCTAATGCTCATCACAGTCCCATTACTCACTGTGATGGCCCTCAGCAGAGCAGCTGAGTTGGGTGGGAAGGATTGGGGAAGGGGAGGGTAGAGAGCAACGCCATTTAAGGTCTGGGCGATGCCTGCAGGGCCCCAGCCTTCCTACCAGGCAACACCACTGCAGTCTCCTAGATCCTGCCTCCAAGACAAAGCCAAGCGTGGGTTTATGCTTCACCTTTAAGTCCCCACACCAGGTCCCGGGACCATCAGCTCACACTTCCTCCAGATGTGCACACCACTGGGTAATGTTTATCCCCTTCCCATATTCAGACCCCAGGTTCACTCCCTCAGCTCTGCCCCCTTCCTGCTCCAATGCCACTGGATCTCGCTGGACTCACCCATGAACTTGGCATATGGCGTGTAGAGAGCTTGTAGTCCAGCCGGATCCAGGACCACCCCAAGCCCCTGACGGACTCACAGCCGGGAAAGCCCGAATGAGTCTGTGCCGTCCTCCCTGCAGCCTCTGATCTTTCCGTCAATACTCACAGCCACATCCTCAGGGACCTTCAGATGCGAGTCACCCCCGTCCTCTCTGCCCTGCACTTGCTGTGTCCTCAGAAGCCACAACACTCCTCTCTCCCCTCCGCCTTCCTCACGGTCCCCCACGCGGGACTGAGCTGCAGGACGGGACAGGCGCCCTCCCCAGGCTGTGGTGTCTGTGTGAGGAGGCGGTGAGGGCCTGGGGGACTGAACTCACCTCAGCCCGTCTCCTCAGGGGGGGCGCCGCCATTGTCCTCTGTGGGCTGAGCGGGGCGGGAGCAGAAGCCGCTGCAGGAATGGCGGTCGCTGGCCCGGCCCTGGCGTGGGTTCGGGTGGCGACTCCGAGCTTCAATCCCACGTGTGAGCTGTGAGCACCTCTGGAGGCTCCGACCATGGGCTGTGAGGCGGGGAACACCGCTCTCCGGCCTTCTCCACGGGACTGCGGACTCGAAAAACCTCACCGCCTGAGACAAAAAAACGGAAGACAAAATCCTGCCACTAGGATTATCGGTCCCGCCCTCCCGAAGCGGCCAAACGGAAGTGCCTTCTCTGAGCCTCCATTGGCTCCGCCTGATGCCATTCCATGCTTGGCCTTCTGGGTAATGTAGTTTCTAAGCGCCAAGGCCAGGATCCAGTATTTCTCAGTTTACTCTAGAACTGGATTAGGGGCAAATAGCCCAAGAACACACCAAGTACATTCAGGGTCCTCTAGCGCCTTCAGGGGAGTTTATTTCCGAGGCAAGTTTGTTTCTCCTGCACCTGCACGGCTTCCTTTATCTGCAGGTTTTACATATATTTGTTCAGGACTTGCTCTTTCTGAGTGGCAGGCATTCTTTGCTCATTCAAGAATTTTGAATGTGTCTCCCTCGGGCCATATGTTTCTGGAGGAGGTTGTTCAAGTCCCTGCCTTAAGCTGCCTCCATTGAATCCATTATACATAGTTAAGGTCACAAACAGACCCTCATACTTAAAGGCATCTGCTTCTGATGCCATCAAAAGTGTCAGCACTGCCTGGGCTGCAGTGTGGATAAGATGGTCAAGAAACATATGAAAAGATGCTTCAAGTCACAGATCATCAGAGATGGAAATTCAAGCAACAATTACGTGTCACCTCACCGCTTTCACAATGGCTGCCATCAACAAATGAACAAAATTCAAGGAGAGGATGTGGAGAACAGGGACCCTAGTACACTGCTGGTGGGAATTCAAACTGGTGCAGCCAGTATGAAAATTAGAATAGACTTTCCTCAAAAAATTTAGTATGGAACTTCCATTGATGAAGTGATTCCACTTCTAGGAATATATCCCGAGAAACCTGAAATAAGATTGAATATATACTCCCTTCTGTTGATAACAGCAAAATTTACAATAGCAAAGATGTGGAAACAGCCCAAGTGTCCATCAATAGACAACTGGATTACAATGCTTTGATGCAGCCCTAGCCAGTTTGGCTCATTGGATAGAGCGTCACCCTGCAGCCTGAAGGATCCCAGGTTTATTTCAGGACAAGGGTACATGCCCAGGTTGCAGGCTTCATTCCCACTAGGGAGTGCACTAGAGGCAGCCAATCAATGATTCTCTCTCATCATTGATGTTTCTCTCTCTCTCTCTCTCTCCCTTACATTTCTTCTCTGAAATAAATACTTAAAAAAAAAACCTGAGAAAAATTTATACCATGGAATAATCTGCAGCAGTAAAAAAGAAGAATTTTTACCTTTACAGACAGGATAGAGGCACCTGGAAAGCATCAAACCAACTGAAATCAGTCAGTCAGAGAACGACAAGTATCACTTGATCTCACTCATATAGGAAATCTAATTAACAAACTAAAGTGGTGAATGGAGTGGATTCAGAGACATGGAAGCATGCAAGGAGTACAGAATCTCAGAGGAAAGGAATAGGAGGGGGAATAAAGAAAAAACAGCCTCAGGTAAGGATTAAACTCACACACACACACACTAAACTCACACACACGCACACGCACACACACACACACACACACACACTCAGAGTCACCTGAGCCCTTGAGCTTTGTCTTCTGTTCTCTGAATACAATGGGAAAACGCTTGCTGTGTTCTGAGTGTGCTCTAAATTTGTGTTTATTAATCTGTGTTCAATCAGTTGAGTCTCTGGAAATGCTGATACCCCTCCATGTAACTTTCTCCTGCTTCACATGAGTCAATTCTTTTGGTAATGTTGAAAGAAATGTCCAAACTTGTGGAGAATTTTTCTAAGTTTATGTGACCCAAGCCGGTAACAGTGCCAGGAAGCAGAATAACAATAAATTGCTTGGGAGAATGGCAGTTTTGCACCTTTTTTATACATGAGACTAAAGAAGAAGACATAAATGGGTTACATGACATTCACTGGTGATAAATTGGGGACAGGAGCTAAGGAAAAAAATCTCTGAGATTGGATAAAAAGTAAAAAAATTAAAAATGACATAAACTTCTTTTTAAGTTTATCTATTAGTTAACTGTTAATATTTAACACAACAACAATTGGGGTTCTGCGATCTTCTGTGTTCAGGGATTGTGCTCTTAGGAGTCTGTGAAACAGAAATGTCCCTTAAAATCCGAAGGTATGTTATCCCTGATGCAACAGACAAAAGACAGGTTCAATACGCTAAAATTTGCCCCTTGCAAAAAATTAAAAAAACCACACACACACACACACACACACACACACACACACACACACAAAACAACGCAGACTGGGACATAAATACCCCTTTGGCTGTAATGGGGCGACCTGCGGAGAACACCACCAGGGACTCAGATTAAAGATTTAGGAGCCTTTATTAAGCCGGCCAGCGACTACAGTTGCAGCACCCTGCCGAAGCATAGGCTGAACTACAGTGCAGACTATAGGGATTACAGCATTTTTGTTTGCAAAACTCAAAGTTACAAAAACCATAGTTCCAGACACAGTATAGTATCAATACCTTCCTATCTACGTGTTTTAGGATCAGAGAGTACAGCATATTGACAAGGGGCCATGAGACCATATCTCAAGGCCTGGCCTGATGTCAGTACCCTCCTATCTATGTGTTTTAGGAACAGAGAGCACAGTGCGCCCCATCTGGACAAAGCACCAGATATGCAGCCCAGCACAGTGACTACCTTTTACTTAAAAAATTTTAACTTCAAAGCATCCTATGTGGGCACTTTTAGCCTCAGAGTTTGCAAGATTGGCTATGCTATGTCAGGCTCCCTGAGCTTGCTAGCTTTACTGTATGCCACCATTTTTGTCCATATTGGGGAGTTAGAACCTGTGGGTTTAGGAGAAAATTCAAGGAGTTGTTTATCAACTCCGGGACACATTGTTGATGTCCTCCTAAACACAATGCCCCCAGTATTGCTGCTGTGCCTTTATTTCGTCTCCTAGAAGGAGTCACTCTTCAGGTCACTAAAGCCTTAGGTTCTAAATGTGGTGGAGGTATTTTGTAAGGACAAGAAAAAGGTTTATTTCTTTGTTGTGGCCTTCCACAAGTGATGAGAAGCACCTGCTAATTAAACCCCAAGTAGTTTATTTCTGGCCGGAACCATTATTCACATCCTCCTTAACAGAATGATCCCCGTATTGCTGGTGTCCCTTTATTTCGTCTCCTAGAAATATTGATTCTTCAGGTTACTAAAGCCTTAGGTTCTAAATGTGGTGGAGGTATTTTTAAGGACAAGAAAAAGGACTTTATTTGCTGTGGCCTTTCACAATTTATGAGAAGCACCTGCACCCAAGATTGTTGGCTCATCTAATTCAACAACACCACTATACAAACTGCTGAACAAGATATTTTTTTTTTAAAGTAAATCTTTATTGTTCAGATTACAGCTGTTCCTGTTCTTTTCCCCCATAGCTCCCCTCCACCGGTTTCCCACCCCACCCTCCTCCCTCACCCCCCACCCCACTGTCCTCATCCATAGGTGCATAGGTTTTCAATATCTTGCTCTCTCTCTTCTTCTGGCACCCCTATAATTCGGATGTTGGTACGCTTGAAGCTGTCCCAGAGGCTCCTTACACTATCCTTGTAGTTTTGGATCCTTCTTTCATTTTGCTTTTCCGGTTGGGTGTTTTTTGCTTCTTCATATTTCAAATCTTTGACTTGATTCTTGCGATCCTCTAGTCTGCTGTTGGGAGTCCGTATAATATTCTGTATTTCGGTCAGTGTATGCTTAATTTCTAGTTGGTCCTTTATCACAACCTCGAGGCTCTCATTAGATTTCTTGAGGCTCTCATTAAGTTTATCGGCGGTTTCTAGAAAGTTCTTGAAAAACCTTAAAAGTGTGGTTTTGAACTCTATATCCAGTAGTTTG